TTTATATAATATCAAAATATATTTTTACAATTAATATTAAAAATAGTCAACTAACTAAAACACAAATTAAACATAAATTCATGAGATATCAATTATCAAAAACAAAATTTAAGATTTAACAACATTCTAATTTATCATATTAACAATTAAATACAAATTTTATTTTCGGACTTCACTTAAAAATATAGAATAATTAAAAAATTTTGAAATAAAAAGAAAAAAAATTCAAAAAACTCACTTATAGGGTAGATTAAAAACCAATATACTTGTAGATGCCTAGATCTAACGATAAACACAGCAGATCTACAAAAAAAAAAAAAATGTTAACCTGTTGCCATAACTCAAATTTTTAATAAAATTTTATTTTTATTTTTAGTCTTATTTTTATTTTAACTAATATGTTTTGTCTTTTTTTGCCTTGTTAGGTTCATGAGCAAAAAATGAGATTTTTGCTAAGAAAATTGGAAAAGGAAGGTGAAAGAAATTAAAACAAGGGACTCAATTGAAGAGATCAAAAGTTGAAGGGTAGAATGCGTTAAAGTCAAAATCCACAATTATCCAAAACCCATTTAATCCAAAGGTTTAAGTACCATTTTGGTCCCTCAACTTTTCACTTTGGCACCAAAATTGTCCCTCAGCTTTAAAAAGTACCAAAGTTGATATCTCATGAATTTATGGTATACCAAAACCCAAAAGCCTAAAGCCCACCTACCCAAAACCTAAACAAAAAAAAGAGAAAAAAGGAAGGGGGCTTAAATCCCCTTCTTCTTCCAGTCAACCTCGATGTCCTTCTCTCTCTTCTTAGATTTCCTTTACTCCTTACACAGACTCCCAGCCTCCTCTTCCCAAACCATTCGGTAGCCATCGTTTTTTCTTTTCTCTTCCTCCAGTCATCATCGTCGTGTCTCATGGCTTCCAAAGCCTTCGATCAGCCCACGATTCCTCCATTCTCGTCCCCTATTCCATCTCGCATCCACTCGCCCGAACCATTTTCACGGACAAATGAGATCCATGTCAGCGAGTAAGCACCGAAATTGGAAAGGGGAAAGCTGGATCTGTTGATTGGTGATAGAGGTGATGTGCACGCGAAGCTCCGGCGACTCGGTGAGATTTCGATCTCCCTACGGCTGGACTAGATTTGCAGATCTGTAATACTACGAAACACGAATGGGGTGACCAAAGGCTGGCATCGGCGTAGATTGAAGGCCCAAATGCATTTTGCAGGTTTTTGTAAAAGGGTAAAGATCAGAAAGGCCCAAATGCATGTTGCAGATTCTGGTAAAGAAGAAACCAATTTGAAAAGCCCAAAAATCTTGGATCCAAAAGGCCCGAAGAGTTGATTTCTGGAATGTTCCTTTTAGGGTTTTTAAGGTTTCTTTGTTTGGGTATAAAAAGAGGGTTTTAGGTTAGAAAGAGGGGGGTTTTTCTTTTGGTCGAGTCTGGTGTTGACGGCAAAGAAAAGGAAGAATTTTTCTGCTGGAAGGGGGTCTTTTTGTTTGGGTTGGGTATTGAGAACGGCGACAGAAAGGAGAGGAGTTTTGCTAGAGGGAGCCGGTGATTTGGGAGAAGATTTGGGTCTACCTTTGTAGATAATTTTCTGAACAGAGGAGTTTTCTGGGAACGATGGTGAATGGGAGCCTAGTCTCGTGGGTGGGATCCCTCCCATCAGATCTGAATCTACTTTACCTAAAAAAACTCTGCCATGGGTGTGTTGCTTTGTTTGCCGACTTCTTTTTTTGTATTTTTCATTTAATATTCAAGATTGTATGTGTTTCTTGAGAAATGAATGAAAGATCATAGATTTGCTTGTTTATTTGCCTGATGAATCTGTTCATTTTTTGCTAAAAATGAGATGTATTCATGATGAACCCTAGTTTCCTAAGTTGTTTGCATGTTTGATCTTCTTTTTGGTTATTTTATGTTTGGGTTGTGTTTTTCGGTCGAGTCGATCAAACCCGATCCAATAAAAAAATACATAATATAAATAAAATGAATGAATTAATTGAGATAATTGATTCAATCTATGATTAGTAATATTAATTAATTTTAATTAAAATAAATTAATCATATTTATTCATCTTAATTTAAGATAATTATATTGTTTATCTTGATTAAAAATTAATAATATGATTAATTGATTTTAATTAATTTTAATTAATGTCAAATTAATTATTTAATTAAGTTAATTATCATAGTAATTAATTTAAATCCTTAATTTCTGTTAATTTTAGTCAAAGTCAAAATTATGTTTTCTTATTTTAATTTCACCCAAAACTTTTATAATTAAGCAATTTAGTCCACATATTTCAACTCTTTTTAAATCAGTCCTCTATGTTTTGAATTTAATTCAATCGGTCCTCCATGCTTTGAATTTAATCAAATTAGTCCCTTAACTTTTTATTTTTGCTCATTTCGCATGCATGTTCTCGAATTTGTCCATTTTAGTCCAAATGATTTTTAAATATTGCAATTTGGTCCATCCACTTCTCAAGTTTACTTATTAAGCCTAAATATAAATATAATGAATAAGTTGAATCAAAATCCCAATTTTAAAGTATGCAACCGTATTTAAGCGGAAGATTGTGAGGTGCGCACATGCCCTTCCTCACTCCTAACCAAACCCCCGGACCCTGATTTTTGTGTAGACCTGTTTCTTTCGGTGACTTATCCCACCTTATAATTTGGACGAGTGGCGACTCCTTTTTATATTTTCACACTTAATCCTTTAAGTGGTCATCAACAGATTACCGACTCCACTGGGGATCGAACCCAGAATCTTTGGTTTCCATATTCTAGGCTCACAAGGGTTGAGCTAATACTTTAACTTTGGGGAATTTTTCAGCTTTTGATTTTCTTCGTTTGTTGAGTCTTTGTGGGTCTTTGTCATTTGTTGCATGTGCTTATTGCGTATTGCTTGTTGCTTGTTGCTTGTTGCTTGTTTTGGTTGTTGCTTTTACAGTTTTTTTTCCTTTTAGTGATTATCTTACTATATCATGACATACATCATACCTTGCTCACATGTTCGTGCATCATATCACCTCACATGCTCATGCATCATGCTTATATGCCTCCTTGCTTGTATGTGGATGTGCGAACTATTTGCATTTGGCATGGGAATACTAGGTGAGTCCCTTCTTGTTGTGTAAGTAGATTTGTTTGTGAGTGCTATATCTATTGGGTGCTTTACATGTATGTTTGCTTTATCTACTTGTCGTGGGATATATGTTGCTATTTTTATGGTTGCCATTATGCAGGTTGTTGGAGTGTCATGCCCCTTGCACACACCCACTCTCATTTTGCATCAGGTCTGTGTCGGAGGTGAACCCGACCTCTAGTTTGGAATCCTTACAAATCTGGCTTGGAAAGAGCAATTCTTTTCGCTTTGAGGAGTAAGATCGATTCCCATTAGGTTGTTTCCATTAGTTAATACGACACTTGATGATGTAATATCATCCTGTGTATTAGCTTTTGGAAATATCTCCAATTGATTCCAAAAGGATAAATGGTTGAGAAGGCCTAATACCCTTTAGGAAAACATGTATTGACCTTAGAAAGGTGCCAACCCTAGGACATGTTTCCTTTAGCATCCCACCCATGAGACTAGACGTCCCATGTTTAGGACACAAAAGGGGCATTTTACTTCACTAACCTTTGTTTGCGCATATGACAACTTATTTTTGTAAACTTAATGAGGTATGGCATGTGAGGGCATGATTTATGTTTAACTTCTTTAAGCCTTTTGTTTAGGTAAGATCATGCATTAGACATGGATTTTACCGAGGATACAACTAGACAAGGGAAGAGACTTGGTGAAGTCGTCACATCTCACTCCACTGCTAAGAGAGCTAAGGAGTCAGTCTTTTCAGTCAATATCTCCAAACCCGACTTGAAGTTGTTGAAAAAGGCTTATGGCTTGTTGTCCTCCAGGGAAAAGCATGACTTTGTGGGCCAATTTGGGTGCATTGGGGATCTATTGTCAGTGGTGTCGGATTGGGATTTGTTTAGAGCCATGTTGAAATTCTATGTGCCAAAATGTCAAGCTTTTGGTGTTTCCACATTTTGAGTTGGTGCCCACCATTGATGAGTATCATCACTTCCTGCGGTGTACTCCTATGGTGGATTCTTGTACCTTTACTCCTCAAATACAACTTGATCAACTTGGAGGAAAATTTGCTACTTGGGAGCTTTTGTACAAACATCAGAAATCTAGATTTGTCAAAGAAAACTTGCTTGAATGAATACAATCTTTCTTCTTGGTCAAAAGCGTATCCGATAAAGTAAAATCCATGATTAGGATAGAAATTTTCATTTTTCAAGTCTCATATCACATATGCATATTCATTTGATTATACATGATCACTCATTATCTTTATCTGGTCATTTTGTATTTAGTTCTCAAGCCCTTTTTGTTTGGACCATCTGTGATCTTTGAAAAGAAATATGAATCTCACACATCCAAGACACAAGCTTCTTCACACAAGACTTTGTTGGAGTTTTCTGCCCATACTCAAAGGCTCAATGAAGAGACCATCTCTTATTTGCGCCAGTGGACTAAGGACAATGAACACCTTTGCAAAGCCAATGAGCAGTTGGAAAGGTAATACTATAATTACCATGGAAGATGTGCATTGTCAACTCTAAGCCTAGAAGCAAAAGAACCAAACTCTTGTTGAAGAGAACACTAGCCTACGTGAAGTTGTCAGCGACATAACCACTTTGGTGACTCAATTTGAAGGGAGGATAGTCGAGACTCATCATCACACTGCTTAAAAGACCTATCCAATTGAAAGGGGATTCTTCCAACCAGTCTTCGACTTCATCATTGACATATCTAAGAGTTTGTATCAAAATTTGTGTTTTGTAATGAAAGCTTGTAAGCACTTTGAATGAAACTTTGTAATGCTCACTAACTTTGTTTAAAGTGTGAATCATGCAACTCATTGTAAAATAGGAAAATATCTTTATACAAGATGGGAACACCAATGTGAGAAGGGCAAACTGATGGTCCAATCAAAAAGGGCTAAAGTCCTTTTAGTTTCCTAATTTTTTTCCTTTTGTCTTTACATTTCTGTTCGTAGATAAAATTCTTCTAATCATAGCTCCAAGGCAAAAGGTCTTCAAAAAGTGGCGTTCTCCGTATTTGCTCAGATCTAGAGTAATCAAAATGTCTGAGGAAAATACTGCTACTAATCCAAAGAAATCAGCCGTGGATGAGAGGGTTGATAAGTTGGAAGCTGCAATGCAAACTGTGGCCGCTACTCTTCAGACTATCAGTCTTACTTTGTCTACTTTGACTACTGGTTCAATTCCTTCAACTGCATACTTAGTGCCCTCAACACCAGCTCCACCTGTCCCTATTCCACCATCTATTATCACATCGGGTAATCGTGCTAAGGATCCCATGGTCACACAATTGCAATTTCCACCTATTTATGAGAATCAGCCTCTAATGGGGAGTCATCTTCACATGCTCCACAAATATCATCTCGGCCCTCTGAAGCCTCATACCAACCACGCGAGGTGAACAACCCTACCTTGCCCACAACCACACCTCTTAACCTTAACATACCACCTTTGATGGGACAAGTGCCAGCTATTAACCCAACCCCTTGGTTGAGATATTGAGGCCTGTTTTGGAGGATGGGAAATCAAGAGAGGTCGATCACAAGTTGCAACAGTTGGAAAAGGCTTTGAAAGCTATGCAAGGGCCACAAGCTTATGGTTCTATTGATTTGGATGATCTTTGCTACATCCAGGAATCCAAACTAATTTCAAGTTCAAGCAGCCAGATTTTGATAAGTATGATGATTCAGGGTGTCCTTATGCCCACCTGCAGATGTATGCTAGGAAGATGACAGCTTATGCCAATCATGAGAGGGCGCTCATTCATTACTTTCAAGATAGTCTGTCAGGCCCAGCAAGTATTTGGTTCTCCATTCTTAACAAGAAGAAGATTCGCACTTTCAAGGATGTGTCTCAAGCTTTCATGAAGCAGTATGAGTATAATATCAATCTAGCTCCTACAAGGGATAACTTGCAGAGAGTCACCAAGAAAGGTAATGAGACTTTCAAGGAATTTGCTTAACAGTAGAGATCCAAAGCAACTAAGGTCATTCCACCTCTCACTGATAGTGAAATCTGCTCTCTCTTTATCAAGTCGACTACCGGGACCTTCTGTGCATGGTTAACTCCTTGTGTGGGATATACTTTTGCTCAGCTAGTGACAGCGGGTGAACAAATTGAAGATGGACTTAAGACAGGCCTAATTATGGACTTTCAAGCCATCCAGAAACAGTTAGAACAAGTCAAAATGGGCAGTGCAGGATCTACTTCAAAGAAGTTTGCCCCCGGAGGAAAGAAAGAAGATGAAGAAGCTTTCAGTCATATTTCCACTTGTCATACAAAACCAGTTTATAATGTGGCAAAGATTTCTTATAATCGGCAGCCTCAATTGCAATACACTTCAGCCTTTAAGCCTACCACTTATCCGTTTTGGTATGATCCACAAGCTAGGTGCGAATATCACAATGTGGTGGGTCATGGTACTGAATATTGTGCAACTTTGAGGCATAAAATTCAAGATCTCATCGATAAAGGGAAACTTCAGCTTGATACTAAGGAAGCCGAGAGCACTCCGAACATCACTCGAAATCCTTTACCCCCTCGCGATGCAAGCACAATGAATATGGTTGCCCTTGATGAAGTTGCCCTTGATGAAGTTGAAAAGCCCGTGTTGGAGAATACCAGTTTTTGGTCTCTTTATGAATTTTTTGCCATTTTGACAAAGTATGATTTGATTCAACCGATTACACAACTGAGCTTGAATGTTTCACCTGCGATGATTGATATGCCTTGGTGTGTCCTTACCACTCCCATATGAAGGGGCATACTTTACAAGATTGTGAAGATTTCAGAAAAAGGTTAAGGAGTTGCAAGCAGTGGGATCTTTGAAGTTTATGTCTGCTCAAGAGTCAGAAAAATGCATAGCATAGTTTAAGGAAGTGGCTGTGGATGATATTACTGATGAAGTTTGTTTTGATGATGAGGAAGACTATTTTGGCTTCAACAACCTCTTTGGGCCAGCCAACATGATAGATTCTAAGGAAAGGTGGAGAAGGATGCTCGCTGAAAAGGCATCCATGGAGAAGCACCCCAGCTTCCATCTTGTTCATCATGCGAAGGCTCCAATGGGTTCACATGAGTCTATGCTTCTTGGAACAAGGGAAGAAGAATCACTATGTGACTCATTGAGAAATTTGACTATAAATGCTTTAGATGAGGAAGAATTGGAATTTGATAAGGGAGTTTCACTAGTCAATGGAAGCTTTTAGGCTAATTGGACAACGGAACTTCTCCCTGCAGCTTTCATCTTTGAGTAAGAAGAGTCAGCCTTTAGTAGTTTTGCTTGTGACTACATGAAGGGAGGGATGCAACAAGCACCTTTATATTTTTTGAAATTTATGTTATCATGCTTCTAGTATTCCCATGCTTTCCTTTTAAATAAGACATGTTGCAATTCTACCTATCATTGTAAAAATCATCATGATGCAACTTTACTTCAACTTTTATTGTACGAACCACTCTTTAATGATATATTTCATGAGGTTATCCAATAACATATTCTTATATTTGCTTTATTATCATGTGGCCATTTATTTACTTTCATCCAAATTTTCAAGCCTGCTAATGATGAATCTAAATGCAATGATGCCATTTCAGGATTGGTATATGGTTCAAATGATCCAAATCCATGTCGAGGAAGATGTTGGCAATCTTGATTCATCCCATGAACTAATTGATGTGTTGCAAAATAGAGGCCAAAGTTGCAGTCAAATGTGATAGACTCATACAAGAAGAAAATGGTGAGAAAAGATTTAAAAAAAAAAAAAAAAGAAAGAAGAGAGAATAAGGAAATCTTGCTAACTTAAGTTGAATGATTGTCATCATTTTTGAAGTCTCAAGTGAAAAAGCTCAAGGACCAAAGGCCATCTTTCATGAGCCTAATTCCCAAACACTTTACCCAAAAGTGTCATCCTTTCATCAACCAAGTTGAATCTAAAAAGAAAAAGTGAGCCTTTTCTTTCATACCTATCTCAAAACCGAGAAATATAGTTACGTGACTAACTAGGGGCAAGATCATATTGCTAAAAGCCATGAA